GTTAAAATCATAACTTGTTTATTCAAAATCTGAGATTTCGTAAGATGAGTTCGAAAACATGGACCTGGGTACCCATACTTGAAGATCTTATGAAAACAACACAAAAGCATAGATCTTGATACAAACTTTCGGATCAAAACATTGTTTTATTTCAAGAACTCAAGAACACCATTTTCTCTTTCTAAAACAACTTAAAACCAATGCATGGCTCATGAATCATGCTAGATCATGCAATGCGATTGAATAAACATAAAGATGAACAAGAGTAAATCAAGAATCTAACCTCAACACTCGGATCAAACGGTTTAGACTCTAAGGATCAAGCTTGGAAATCTACTTCTCTCTCACGAACTCCTCTTCCTCTCTTCCTAGAGCTTCTCTCTCTACCATGTGTAGACGCGCCCGCGGAGGGGGGCCTTATGCTACTACAGTTCAGATCATGCAATGCGATTGAATAAACATAAAGATGAACAAGAGTAAATCAAGAATCTAACCTCAACACTCGGATCAAACGGTTTAGACTCTAAGGATCAAGCTTGGAAATCTACTTCTCTCTCACGAACTCCTCTTCCTCTCTTCCTAGAGCTTCTCTCTCTACCATGCAAAAGATATGACAAAATCATATGTTTTCTCAACTGCCAGCAGACTTAACCCTCTGCTGGGACACGTGGCACCACCAGATTGGGTTTCCTCAAAAGGGTGACTAAATGACATGACAAGAGCATGACAAAGTGTGTATAACAAGTAGGGTGACATGGGCACTCCGGCAGGTAATGATCTCGGGTTAGGACAAAGGCTTCGGCAAGTAAGGTCTCAATGATCTCGGCTAAGAAGGATAACACTTGGCCTAGCTGTGCCACACCTCGGCCTAGATGTGCCACACCTCGGTCTAGGTCATACCTTGTCCGAAAGACATCACCAAAAATTTGTAGTGGCCATACCTTGTCCGAAAAGTAGTCTTCTCAACATCCTCGGCTTTAACCTTGAGCTGATGGTAGCCCGACCTGAGATCAATTTTTGAAAAGACTCGTGCTCCTTGTAATTGGTCAAGTAGATCATCAATCCTCGGCAATGGATACTTGTTCTTAATGGTCACCTTGTTCAGTTCTCGGTAATCAATACAAAGACGAAGTGTACCGTCCTTTTTCTTAACAAATAGAACTGGTGCTCCCCAAGGTGAAGTGCTCGGCCTAATGAAGCCCTTATCTAACAATTCTTGTAACTGCAGCTTCAATTCCTTAAGCTCGGCTGGGGCCATTCTATAGGGTGTTTTGGAGATGGGGTGGGTTCCCGACATGACATCAACAGTAAATTCTACTTCTCTATCGATCAAGTGGCCAGGCAAATTGTTTGGAAAGACATCAGGGAATTCATTAACAACTGGGATGTCGGCAATTTCAACGTTTCCTTTCAGATTACTTAGTACACTACACAGATAGCCCTGACACCCTTTTTGGATTAACTTACAAGCTTTCATGGACGAAATCAAGTAAGGTGGGGATACTACTCCCTTACCCCGAAATGTAACCTCAACTTGGTTTGGGGGTCTCAATATGACACTTTTGGAAACACAATTAATGGATGCATGATTTTCTACTAACCAATCAATTCCAATATAACATCAAAATGAGTTATGTCCAACGGCATCAAATCAACTAGTAATTCAACATTCTCAATCACAACATCACATGCTCTATAAATGAATGCAACAGTCATAGTTCTTCTAGACGGAGTAGACACAGATAACACATAACCTAGAGGTTCTAATTCCCTATTCAACTTCTCGGAAAACTTAGTAGATACGAATGAATGTATAGAACCCGAATCAATCAATATATATGCATCTTGAGAGCAAATGGGAAGTATACCTGACACCACTGTCTTGGCACTCTGAGTGTCTCCTGGCACTAATGCAAAAACTCTGCCTTGCCTTGTCTGCGTCCTTCCGACGTTGTTTTTCTGTGCAGAGCTCGAAGTATTCCTATTTTTCTTACTATCGTCAGCCTTTGTCTTCGGGCAGTCCTTCACACGATGACCTACTTCTCCACATTCAAAGCAAGCTCCTGACGCCCAACGACAGACTCCAAAATGTGGCTTCCCATAACTTGCACACGTCGGCTTAGTATCACCTCCCTGATTTGAGTTGCTGGAACTGCCTATATTCGCCTTCTTCTTGGCATTAAACGGTACTCGGCGATTCTCGTAATTTTGTCTCTTCCTCTGGCTCTCTGCTAAACTCTGGTATCGGTTCAAGTTAGCTTCTGCTAGGATGGCCTTGTCTAACACTCCGACGTAAGTCCGCATGTTGAGCGTGTTAACTTGATCCTATATCGGTCCACGCAGTCCACTTTCAAACTTCTTAACTTTTCTATATTCATCATCGACCATATGAGGCGCATATCTCGCTAACTCGGTAAAAGCAAGGTCGTATTCTGCCACTGTCTTGTTGCCTTGTGTCAGGGTTTGGAACTCTGTGGTTTTGTGATCTCTGACACTAAGAGGAAAATGCTTGTTGTAGAACAACTCCAAAAATCTAGCCCAAGTCAACCCTGGGTTACCTTCTCGAATCATCATCCACCATCTTCGAGCGTCTTCGTCTAATGTGAATGTTGCTAATGACACCTTCTGAGCGTCGGTGCTGGGAAAAATCTCGAACAACTTCTCCATTTCTAAAACCTACGCTTCGGCTTTCATCAGCTCTATACCCCCTTGGAATCTCGGCGGGTTCATCTTCTTGAACTCTTTGATCAAGGTTATCATACCGTTCCCATATAAGGTTTGTTGTGGAGGCACTTGCGGCACTGGAGGAGGTGGAGGTGGAGACGGAGCTGCATGTCGGCCGTTTGTCTGCTCGGCCTGAGTAGAGGTGGTGCTAGTGTCTTGCAGCCTAGGTTGTCTCAACTCACGGACCAAACCTTCAACCAATCTTTCTAATCTGTCCAATCTGTCCTCAAAATGATCTCGGCCAACTGGAGGTCTACCCCTTCTCATGATGCTAGGAGTATGCAAAATGTGACTTTAAAACGAAATGAACAAATAGACAAGCATGCAAGCAACAAATGATCATGCCGAGATGATGCACACCTTGTCAAGTAGCAAGCAATATGATGCAATCCTAATATCATTCTAAGGAATTCCACAAAGAAATGCTGTTGATCAAAATACCTTTTAATCAATCCTATCTTGATCTATCGATCAACCAGGCAATTATCTCAAGTACCACAAGATTAATCTTCCTTGAAAGGTAGAGAGTGCAAGTATGAGGTCATATATTACCTTGATATTCACTAGTTCTTAAGTTTGACCAATGTTAGGAAAAATCCCTGCCGATAAAGCAGGAACATAATTGAGGAGATATGGAAGTAATACATGGAAAGGCTCTTGCAAAAATGGCTAAAATATAGCTATTTTTGTATATTGGCAACTCATACAATTACTTACAAGATATAGACAAAATGTTATTGATCAAAGCAAACATGGCTGGAACAACGCCCCAGAATCAGAACATACATGGAAAGCTAAATATTCAAATTTGTCCGAGATATGCAATAAATCCAGAAACAGAAGATTTACTTATATAAACAATTAAAAACAGTCACACCAATGGAAGTTTCCAAGCATCTGATGCTCAATGTGACACATATTCATCGGTAAAAAGGAAATTGGCAATCATTCCTAACGCATCTCATCACTTTGCATATTTCAAACAGTAAAACTTTTGTCACTATAATTTGTCGTTCTCAGAATATTTCTCATCTTGTCCTAAATCTCAGAATAATAACCTTCTCTAAATGTGGTATGATGGAACAATTGTTCTCAAAACATTGTGAAGCTAGATGTGTAAACTATAATGAGAAGCTTCACCACAAATAATTTTCTGCCTAGCGCGTTCCAGGTCAACCTCGAATGCCTCCTTCCCTTGCATGTAGATATTCATCCACTAAAATGCAGTTTAAGCTCTAACTCCAACTTGGGTAGTAAAACAATTCTTCCAGGGCTGGCTTAAGCCTCCACGAGGCCTAAAGCAAAATTTTATTGCGAGACTTTTTATATTTTAAACTTAAATGTAAATAATATTTATTATTTTTAGTAAATTATCATGTAAAATTCATTTTAAAAAAAAAAGAAATTAAAAGTGCCAAAACTTACAAATAAATAAAACGTAAAAATTCAAAGTGAAGACTAAGAAAGGTTTGTAGAACCTATTTCAAATAGGTGGGGCCTCTTTTAAAGTAAGCTTTTTTAAAATTATATATTATAAGCTTTCTAAAATTTATGGAGCCCTTTTCAATGTGAACCTTTATTTATTATAAAAAATTAAAAATTTAAAAAAAAAATGTGCATATGACCAAGGATGGATCTAGGGGGAGGGGGACCGCACCCCCAAAAAATTGAAAAATATCATACCAAACCAGTGGATATTTTTACCAAAATTGTAAAACTTGTATTATACTTATGGGAGTATATCTTTTTTCTTTTTTCTTGTGTTGGTTTTGTGAAGGCCGTCGTCAAAGTGGACCTTATGAGAAACAATTGAGTTGTATTATGGTTTATTATTATATATGAAAAATTTGGGGCTTTTTTGCAAATGAGGCCCCAAATTTCTGTTATTTATGAATTGAGATGTGGAAAATTTCTGTTCCATTGAGAATGGACTAGACTGTTCGCAAAGAAAAGGCTGGTCCAAAACTCCGAATTTGTACAAGATCAAGAGTATCTTTTAATTGCTATAATAAAAAAAGATAGCATGTTTGGCAGCCCAAAAAGTGCTTCCTAAACTACACAACTATGTAGCAACCTTGAATTTGGATTTGTTGAATCTGGGGTTCCAACTTCATGGTAAAAGTTGGAGAAATCCCATTCATATGTCCAAAATTCAAAGGTTTAGATTGTGCCAATTGAAAAATAATTGCCCACTATCTCCCTGATTTTTCTTGCGAGAAAATAAACTACTTCCTCCCTCTTTTTCATTCAGGCCTTCCATTATTAGACGGACAATTGAGATTTCTCCAACTTCACTGCTGATGTTGAAACTCTAAATCCAACAAAACCTGATAATTCACTTTCCCTCTGGTTAGTAACGCTCAAGTAACTCAAATTTAAATATAATCAACTACCACAATCAACGCCGCAACATGTCATATGATTTGTAACTAATTAGCATGCTTTCAACCAATTCATCATCCTGAAAGAGATACCTACCAGAGTATTGAACTATTTCAACTAACCTAATAGTCCAAATCCTTAAATACAAAAAGAACCTGTCATAAAGATCACAAATCATCAAATTTAGCTAAATTTTCAATCCCAACCTTTCTTGTTGGAACAAAATTTGAAATTCAATAAACCAATTGATTTCACATAATTACACTCAAAAGTAAACAATAACAACAACATACCACATTCATACCTTAGCTTTGGAAATTATCTTCACAGCCACAGGTTGATTCTTAAGCTCTCCCTTCTTACCCTTTGCACAACAAGTATGACCAAAATGCCCTCGCCCTACCTCCTTCCCCAATTCATACTTGGCGGCAAAGTTCTTCGGATAACCGAAGCTCTTATCGAGCACTTCACCATCTCCACCGTCGTCTTCCGGTATCGGCCCCTTCGCCGGCTTCGGCGGCGCCTGCCGCTTCAGAATCGCCGACATGATCGGCTTCGCCGGCGATGGCGGAGGGAAAGGCCACTTGAATATCCTCCGCGGAGTCATCGCCGGCGACGGTGCAACTCCGGCGGGGTAAGGACTTTGCCATGGGCTAGCCGAGAAGGAGTGAGCTGGAGTGTTCTTATTGGACTGGACGTCTACGGTTCCGTTACCGGAGGGAGTCGCCGCCGGAAGAGGCGGTTTTGCGCGGTGGTTGGGGGCGACGGAGACGGTGGTGTCGTCCTTGACGACGGAGGCGGAGACGTTCTTGCTGCAGCAATGCCCCATCGGCGGCGATGAATCTCCGATCAAGATCGATCGGTCAAAGTCTACACATTGGACGGTTGATGGTAGACTTTTATTACTACAACAAGAAAATATTACAACTTCGCCGGCTATATACCGTTAGTTATATAGACACAAATCATATAATATATAGAGAGAGAGAAGGGATGGGTGCTAATTTTGGAGAGAGAGCAGTTGAAACAACGATTTCTAACAAAGTAAACCAATTTTTTAATGGATTAATTCTATTTTTAATGTCTATGTTTTTTTAATTATTAATTGTCTATTAATTTTTTGAAAAAAACAATTTTATTTCGCTTTCACTGATTTATATTTGGTTATTTTTTTATTTTAATTTTGTGTTTGATTAAGAAATTTGATAAAGGGATTTAGAAAAATAAACGAAAAGAAAAAAATATGTATGAAATTAAGTAAAATATAGATATATTTTATACATATTTTATTTACTTTTTTCCTTTTCTTTTCTTTTTCTGAATTACTCCTCAAATCATCCAACAAAAAATTTATTTTTTCTCTCTTGGACCCTTTATATTTCAAGTTTTTTTTTCTCCAAATTATCCCTAAACCTAATTTATATTCAAAATTAAACATAAAAATATCATGTTGACTATAACATAACATAGGAAATATATTATTATATTATGATTTAGATTTTTCAGATGTGTAAAATATATAAATATATATATACATATATATTTATATCCATATATATTTATATCGCTGGACTATTAATGTGTTATTTTCTATTTAATTTTGAATATAATAAGTTAGTTTTTAGAGTAAATTAGGAAAAATCTAAAATATGAAAGGCCAAAGTAAGAAAAAAAAATTAAGGTTAAAGTAAAAAAAATAAACTTTAAGAGCCAAATTGAAGAAATAATCAAACATAAAGAAAGTAAAGTGTAATTTATCCTTAATTTTACATAATAAACTTAACAATTTGAAGATGAAATTAAAAAAACAATAATTTATGAAATAAAAATGAAATTAAACTTTTTAAGAGTATAACGATTTTTGTAAACAAAATATATGCTTTGTGATTTTTCATTTCAATCAAAAATATTTATTATTTTAATTTATAATTTTAAAATATAAGTATTAATGGAATGTTCAGAATGGAGTTAAATATTTTGTTTTTTAAAAATAAATAAAAAAGTTAAAAAATAAAAAATCATGTTTATTATCAACTAATCAGGTAAATGTCTTAATTAGGGATGCTCATGGAAGTTAGATAGAATAGACTCTTAGACACTACTCGTCCAAACTTAAGTGGATTAGAGAGAAAAAAAAATCAAATCCACATCATACTTGCTGTAAACCAAATTTAATTCTTATAAACTCACGCTTAAAATAAATTTCAACCACTTAATAATTTTTTTAGAAATTCAAACATTAATGTCTCATTATCATCTGTAACCTATAATTTTATTTTAAAATAATATATAATCCCAAACACTAGTCCATATACATGGGAGAGAACAAGGCTACATAGTCTATCTTGTGGGTAGAAGTTTTCACTTTGATTGTCTCTTCTCTTATTAAAAATATAAAAAGTGATAACTCCATCATAATTTTTTAATTAACTTGATGAGGACTTGAATTAGAAAATGAGAGTATACATAAGGACATATTAATAGTTTGAACCTCGAGATTATTTCACTTGAAATCAAAACACTCCTTCGAATGAATCGATGTTGATCCTTCACTTAGTGGATGTACTTTTGTCATAGGAATTGAGGTTTAAAGATGATTAATTGCTTAACATTATCCTTCCCTTTATAGAAAACAATCTCCTAAACAATGCTTAATATTATCCTTCCCTTAATTCTTTGGGAATTGACTATTAATTTTTTTTTAATTCAATTTTTATTTTTAGCATATTATTTTATACTCTTGGAACAATTGTATTTATAAATTTGACATTATTCATTCAAAAGTCTTACTAACAACATTTGTCAAAGACTATGATAAGTATCATAAAATGTCAAAATATTTAGTATTCTAATACATTTTCTCACATATTTCAAACCACAGTCCTAAGGGTTGTTCTTTGCATTTTGCTTGATTAAGTTTAGATTTGATAGCTTATCTAAATATTTTAAAATTATATTAAAGATCTTTGTCGTGATGTATTTGCAATAGTTATGCAAAAGTTGGTATTTTAAATCATGTTAAAGATTCACCTTTAATTATAAATATGCTACTAATATACATTTTTTTTAATTTTTTTTTTTTTATAGTTTTTCTATTCACTTATAATTTGTAAGTTTCTAATACATTTTACACATTTCAATACTAACGGTAGCTCTGGACTAAGGGCTTTTTATGGCACTTTCCTTCATTAAAACTAGATTTGATAATTTATCTAAATATTTGAGGATCATATTAAAAATCTTTATTGTAATGTATTTGAAATACCCTTTGAAATATTATGAAAAAATAATTATATGAAATCATGTTAAGATTCGCTTCAAATTATAAAGATGCTAAGATTCGCTTCCAACTATAAAGATGCTACTAATATGCATTTTTTTTATGAATAATGTTTGGTGGCCCGAAAAATTCTGCCCCGAATGTCCCGAATGGCTGAAACGACGTCGTTTCAGCCATTCGGGACATTCGGGGCAGAATTTTTCGGACCCTCAAACATTTTCCTATAACAAATAGCACCTTTCTATGTCTTTCAAAATATGGGAATTTAATTAAGTGTTCTAATATCACATCGCTTAACGATAAGTGGTCATGTGAATGCAAATGTTATCAATAATCTCCTTTTATAAGGAGGTTTTGAAAGATGCATTATGTTTAAGAATTTGTATTAGCGTGCATTATACTAATCGTCCTTATAGTTTGTGGCTTGTGTTACTTTGGTTATTGACTTTTCAATTGTAATACATTTGATCCAGAATTTTGAATTTTGTATTAGCGTGCATTATACTAACCGTCCTTATAGTTTTGGGCTTGTGTCACTTTGGTTCTTGATTTTTTAATTGTAATACATTTGATCCTGAATTTTGAATTTTGTTCCAAATAAGGACAATTGAAGATATCATTACTCAATTTCAATAGCAAAGTCATCAATTTAATAAAATATAAATTAATTTGATAAAAATAAATGTCAAAAAAATATTTTTAAATTTTTAAAAATAATTTTTACCCAGTAAAGATAAAATTATATAAAATTAATAAATCTTTTAGACATTTATTTATTTTTATCAAATTAATTTTTATTATGTATTTGGATGATAATAATGTAATATGTTGTTGTTAGGCTTTTAATGTGTAATTGATATATTTAATACATGAAATATTTTTAGTTTTGAATTTTTTAATTTAATAGATTAGTTTAATAATGATATCAAAGTTGTCGCCATATTTGACTTTTAGAAAAATAGAAGCTAATTTAATAAAAATAAAAACCACCACCCATTACATAATCATTATCCAAACACATAATAAAAATTAATTTGATAAAAAAAATGTCTAAAAAAATTATCAATTTTACATAATTTTATCTTTAGTGGGTAGAAATAATTTTTAAAAATTCAAAAAATATTTTTTTGACATTAATTTTTGTCAAATTAGTTTATATTTTATCAAATTGATGACTTTGCCCTTAAAATTAAGCAATGGTATCTTCAATTATCCTTATTTAGAATAAGATTCAAAATTTAGGATTAAATATGTCGCAATTAAAAAGTTAAGGATTAAAGTGATAGAGGAACCAAACTATAAGAACCGTTCGTGTAATTTGACCTTTGTATTATTATAGAAGTGATTGAGACCCCTTCAATCACCACTCCCACACACACGTGGGGCTGGTGATTAGAGGAGGGAAAAAAAAAACTGGCCAGTTAGAGGGAGTCGTGAGGGTGCCCCGTGGGGTCCAAATCATTTTTGGTATTATTATTTGATATTTTCAATCAGTTATCACGTCGAGTACGGAATGGAACACAGCATAATCAAATCATGGATGCGTTGTGGTTCCACGGTTTGAATCGCCATCATTTAAATCATTGCATTTGGGTGATTGTTGGGTAAAGTACAACCTTTTAATGCTTGAGACAATTGCGAATTACCTTAGAAGGAACCATTTGTTCTCATGCTCATCCATTGTATTTTCTGAACTTGCATGAATGCACTAGGGTGTTATTGTGCATGTTTTGTCCTATTGACAATTTTCTTTTTACCAAGATATATTATTGGAAATCATTCAAAATTAACTAAATTAATTAATAGTACTCTATTGGTTACATGAAACATTTGTTGAAAGCAAAAATGTAGATCCTAAAAAGTTTTTGAACAATCTCAGGCCATGTATGAACTCGTAATTTGTGAACATTTTAGCACAAAACTCTTGTGATATTGTATAAAACGCCACTTTTGAAACTAATTTCTATACATGAAATAATAATGATTATTTTAAAAGCTTGTAAAATATGTTATTAAGATTGGAAGTGATTAAGACCTCCCTCTCCCCATCAAACATATATTTTAATCAAAAAAATTATTATAAATTATCACGTTACTTTCATTACTTTTATATCTTTTTATACCCTCTCCCCCCACCCCCACCACCTCCACACACACACGTAGGGGTTGGTGATTGAAAAAAAAAATAAATTAATAAAAAACTAGCCAATCATAGGCCAGTGGGGGTCGCGGGGGTGACCCCCTGTGGGGTCTGGATCATTTTTCTATTAAGATATGAAGATATTTCATCAACCCTTTAGGGAGCAAAACTAGGTACATTGGTACAATGATATTATTTCTTCTTCTTCTTCTTTTTTTTTTTTTTAATGTCATTAATCTACATTCTAAGCAATCATTACATGAATTTTACTATCATCTGTTAAAACCTATACTTGATTAATTTTGTTAGTGGCTCCTTTTTAATGCCCATTATCATTTGATTGGAAATCTCAACTACACATTCTTTACTCCTAATTTTGAAGTTTCTTTTCTTCAATGATTCCCCCCTTTAACATTTGGCTTCTACAACATCACCACCATTGTCCAAAGTCCAAACATTTCCTACCATTAGATTTTTCATGAACATTTTCATTGGTGTCTTTATACAGAATGTGTAGGTGAATTCCACACTGATAGAATCCGAGCTCCGTGAGTGACCAAAGTGATCTAAGTCCATAAAAAGATTTGGCCTTCCAAGCTCACAAGGTCATTTTGAACATCTAACTCTATTAAGCCTCCGTTTGGGAAGTGGGTTGACTTTTTGGCTTTTTGACTTTTTTGAATTTTTTTGTGAGAGAAGAATGTAATGATTATGGGTTAGATGTGATGTTTTGTTTGTTATGGCTAAAATAGACTATTTTGTCTTTTGTGGCTAAAATAGCCAAAAAAGCCCAAGAACCAACTTACCAAACAAGTCTTGTTATGATAGGAGTCTCATTTACTAAGACTGTCCTTTTTAATTTTACCAACTTTCAATTAAGAAAATTCCTCAAATAATTACAGGATGTGACACACTGACTGATAATTCAAAAACCATTTTGTGTAGTTTATTTGCCCATTCAATTAAATGCATAAAAATTTTCAAAAAGCTATAAGAGTGACAAAGAAGAATGATGACTGCCCAGTACAGTTTGCAGATGCTTTCACATCTTTGATGTTTAAATAGAGCAAGCCTGAGGTGCGGCATCATTTGCTATTATGATTTAGCTTTGTTCATGCGCATGAAAAATGTAAGAACAATCATAATAGGCACTTTTTGGCAATATTGCTGTTTATCATTCCACAGCTAGCTAGAATTCTTAATTTCTTAATGCTGTGTTTGGTTAAGAGATTTGAAGAGAGATTTAAAAATGGAAATGAAAAAGATACGTGAAATGTGAATAAAACATGTTTATATTCCACCTAGTCTCACACACCTTTTCCCTTTTCCTTTCTAAATCCCTACTCAAATCCTCCAACCAAACACAGCATAAGGGAAAATAGAAAAAAGAAAAAAAGAAAGAGATGTTTTAATGAAAACATTTCATTTCAAACCGATAAATTTAAATACAGTCCATTTATGGTTATATTTGTATTTCATTTGTGAAATTTTAACATATACACTTTTGAAAGAGATGTATCGTGTACGCTTTTAATTATGTCATTTTCTTATTTAATTATGACTAATTTTCTTCTTTAGTTATGACATTATTTTAATTATAACTCATGAGATTTTTCGTTATATCCGATGTCATGTTTAATTATGATATATAAATATATAAATATATATATATATATTTAGTTATGACTTAAAAGGTATTAACTTATATTATTTTATTCTTTAATTATAAAGTGTATATAATATACACTTTTGAGTAGTACACTATAGTGTTTTCCAATATATGTCCATATACATTTACCACTTGATAAGGGATTAATTATAAATATATATGTATATATAAAACAAAATACAACGATTATTCACCCAAAAAAAAATACAACGATTATAATCTAATAATATAAAAGCTAAAAAATAAGCAAACTTGCCTTCTCTTTCATGGATTACATAGCAGTAGGTACATCATAAACTTTGTTCTTATTTTGAAGAGGACATGAAAAGCTAAAGAAAAAGTTTTGGACGACGGCAATCAATCACAGAATCAAACACAATTCTTTTAAATTAAATAAAATAAAATTTTTTAATATAAGTTCAATTGTTATTATTTTAGATTGTTTGTGGACAAGTAAAAACAATGGCATCTAAATAGTTGGGAAATTCTAATATGCGCTCCTTTAAAAAAGATATATCATATGTATCTTTAATTATGTCATTTTTTTATTTAATTATAACTAATTTTTTTCTTTAGTTATAATATTATTTTAATTATACTCGTAAGTTCTTTAATTAAACAACGTGTTTTATTTAGTTATAACAATTTTTTTTCTTTCTAATTATGACTCAAAAAATTAAAGTTAAATCAATTTTTTTTAATTATAAGGTGTACATAATTCACGCCCACACCGTAATATTTCCCGAATAAGTTTGATTTTGTTTACTCACTTAAAAAGTGGGTGTACAATTTCTCAAGTAGGTGAACAGTACCAAATGGTTTAAATGGCCTTGCCTTAACCAATCAACAAAATTTTCCAGTAAAACCTCATTCATGAGCTTAGTGTTAAACCTGTCCTCTTGATGTAATGCTCTTCAAAATGTAAAAATAATAATTTATAAAGGTAAAAGTTAATGATTCTTTACCAGTCTTGATACAAAACTTTAGAATGAAACATACCACAGTTTACAGCTTGTTACATTCCCATAAATAAGAAAGCTCTCACAGCTTGTACAAATTTTCAACTACTGAAATATTTCCACAGAACCAACTGTTAATACAAATCTCCAAGTTTCTTCGCATCCCAACGATCAAAACCAAGAAAGAAAGAGAAGGAAAAAAAAAACTCTCGGAGCAAAATTATTCCTCACCATGCATTCCACATTGCGATCTCTGCTCAAGCTTTATCACCACAATAATCACTACATAAAAATATAACAATGGGGCAACAAATCAAGCTTCCTCTCCATTGGAAGAGATATATATGTAGTGAAATCATATCCTGAAAGGTTGGTTTCCAAAGCTGAACTGGTCTGTCTTCACTTTCTTCAACTTTGTCTTCTTCGTTGCAATTTCTTGGAATGGATTTGGTCCACCAAATTCTATCTGGGAGCACCTCACCTTCTTCCTTTTTCCCTTGTCGTATTCTTCATCCCTGTTGAAGTGGAAAAATATTACATCATTTGTTAGCGAAAAGAAACAGAAATTTAGTAGTTCATCTACAACAAAAGCAAAAAATTGAGCATTGACATCAAAGCTAAAATACTAAAATACAAAGACATGGAATCCTTGTAAACAGTCAATACTAACCACTGACAGTACAATACTCCCCATAATATGATCCCTCACACTCGGCCACCAGATAATAAAAGAAGCAAGACTGTGATCTTATCCAAAATCAGAGTCAGGCTGACTGGACACAGCTTATGGCGTGTCATTTTTTTTAATTATTACTTTTTTAATAGAACAATTCACGAACACACATGGCCTATGTTCGGATATGCCTGAGGACACCTTTGCAAGTTTCTTTTTTATAATTTTAGAAAATGATTTAAGGTCAAATGTAAAATATATAAAAAAAACAATTAGCGAGGAAAGTGAAAAATAAATAAATAAAAAGACACCTATATACATTGTTTCCTCTTTACATCTGTGTGCAAAATTTATATTCATATACATAGCAAATAAATATATATATATATATATCCGGGTCCATGCTTTTTAGGTATGAACTATCAAGGACTTGGCAAAACATGGAGTTCAGGTGTATGTCTATACTACTGTTTATAACCGGTGGACTAGAAAGAGAGCATCGAGCTAGAAGGACCATGCCTACAATATTTTTCCTTCGTCTCTTTCCGTTTAACAATCAGTAATTGACAGTTCTGCGCTCAAGCTCTTCACATCCTTTAACATTAATGAATGTTAAGACCAACAATTTCCAACCAAAGAACATTTGAAAAATCAAATTTCATTGAAGAAAAAATATTTAATGAAAATTGCTCTTCATTTAGATGGTGGACACTTGCTTCACAGCATGTTTATAAGCATTAAAGAACATATAGTACAAGAACTTGAGAAGCACGGTCACTTCTAAAAAAGTGACATGTCGGTGTCTTGTCCGTGTCGGACACTGACACTCATCAGACACTTTCCCGACAGTCATCCAAACGTGTCCTATTTTTTTAAAAAAAATTTAAACTCGGACACTTTTTGAACACTTAGATGACTTACGTGTTCATTGCTTAAATAAAAGTGTCCATTGATTAGACAAACACGAAACTAATTATAAGTTTGAACAAAATAACTTAGAAAGCGATGCCAAAAGCAAAGAGCGATGCTAGGGGTACCAAATTTTCTATCAAACAAATGACCAAATGTCTCTCGTGGGTGTGGGGTCTGCAATTTTGTGAACCCCACTCATGTGAGACATTTGATCATTTATTTGATAGAAAATTTGAGACCTATAGCATTTTCCAAAAGGAAATTAATGTCAATTTATAGAAATTAGTATTATATTGCATTCATTTATTGTCTTAGAATGATATTAGAATGATATATTCATATATATGACATATAATATAATAAATATATAAAATTATATATTTTGTGTCCCCCCACGTGTCGTGTCCTACATTTTTCTAAAATTGCCGTGTCGGTACGTCTGTGTCGTATTTTTGTCATGTCACGTGTCACGTGTCGTGCTTCTTAGATAAGAACCTAGTTTACTGTTGGTAAACCAATTACCTACCAGCTCACAAATGGATATCATCCACTGTTACTAGGATTATATATTGAATTTTCAAAACTTTCGATGAACTAAAATTGGTTCCCATTAACTAGCTATGGGATGGGTCAGTGAAATTCTTCAACCCAAACACTGATGGAATAGGGTTGGAGAGCATATGTGGTTTGACTAACATGACTGTAACCATTGCTGTCCCCATTTGCAATGAATGGACATCATACATTTTTTTAAAATTCTAATGAAACTTCATAAAAACAGGGAAAAAAATTAATATACGTGGATCATATCAACTCACCATTCATCGCCTATGTACCCAATGCTAGCAGCATCTACACCACTTGATCCTGTAATCCGAGATGAGGGCAGTTCAATCCCATCCCAACGTGCAACTGCAATTTAAAAAATTTGAGTGGAAAAAAAGAATCAGCAACAAAGATTAATTCAAATTACTGCATGAATGGCCAAATGATATGCAGTATATGTCAGGCTTAAATCATTAGGTTTAGATGTAAATAAATAAATAGCTGACAGAGATTTTCCAGATAATCACTCACTAATTGTCTCCTCTAAACCTCTGGTAAGCATGCTCATTAAACCATCATGCACTGAGTTTCCTCTGCTCTCTTTTGAACCATTAGATCCTCGAGCATCAAACTGGTTTCCGGCCAAAGGAGAGCTACAGTTCCTTTGCGGTTGCTTATCCGTTGCAAGCACAGCACCATTTTGACCAAGCCTATCTCTGAAGTCTCGATCAATGATCCCCTCTACCAAATCATGATTAGAACTTTTTACATTCTTCGGAACAGGAATATTGTCTTTCTTACTAGGTCTGGATTTCAACAACTTTCTTTGAGAGTGAACTGAACCAAGGGACAGTGTCCTGGTTATCTCAGACGTAGATGGTCCTAAATCTGTGGAACCAAACACACTGTCCAGTAAGTGCTTTTGAGTGAGATTGTTGATCTTGACAGTACGCTGCTTAACCTTTTTGTGTTTCTTCTTCCGCAGGCTTAAGAATGCCCCAAAAAGGATGCTTGAGCCAAGGTGCATGCTAGTAATCCAACCCCTCGGAAGCTTCTTTTTCAATTTTTGTTGGCACTTGTTATCAAGAGCTTTCTGGTGCAAAGAGATATGTGTGGCTTGCAGGCCTGACAATTCTACGGTTTCAGTAACTCCCATTCTCAGACCATTATAGGTGAGAGTACTTTCCTTCAACAAACCTTTTCCCTGAAATGAAAAAGAAAAGGGAAACATTTAAGACTTGACCAAGAAATTGACGGTGAGGTTCGCAGTCTCAAAAGAGTACAGATACCCACCTGACTATTTTCACAGCTTGGCTGATCTAATGACCTTAACAGGTCAATTTTCTTGGATTCTTTCTCATCAGAATCCTGCAATGGAGCTTCACTATGAATCTGGATAAAAAAGAATGAACAAAAGTGTGATACTCAACTAGGAGGGAGAAGAAGAATATACAACAGAGGAATAGAAAATCCAAATCATTACCTTTTCAGAGGTCTTGTCTGCAACGCACACACCACCAGAAGAATTATGGTGACCATTGCAGTCAGGAGTTATGGCAACCAAGCCACTCAGATCCTTCTCGGCATGTCTGTCCTCATTGTACTTGGGTGACTTCGCACCCACATTACTTGGATCTTTCTTGGTATCTGAATTTTGGGGGCCACAGTGATTAGGCGCTACCACAACCGAATCACTCAGATCTTCCTTGATACTTCTCTCCTTAGTAAATTCATTAGATTTACCACCAGTTGTTGCCAACATAACATTATTAAGAGCATCAGAAGAGCCCTTAATAGGAGCTGATTGTGTTAACCATTCTTGCCCCTTTACTGCATCCTTGGATACTGGCACCTTCAATGAAATATCTAACAGGGGATCCTTCAGTGGATTAGTTTTCTGAACAGATGTTTCCTTCATGAGGGTTTCCTTCAACCCATCTGCAATGATTGCATTACTTTCAGCAGCAGAAGAGTACACACCATTTACTCTTTTATCAATTGGACCATTTTGAACAGCTTCCTTTAAACCTTGACTGGAGTTGGAATGCATTTTATGACTCATGGCATTTATGATCATGCTTTCTTTCTGAATAACATCAACGGGCTTCTTCAGTGCAACATTTCTTCTATCTCGAACATAGAACAACATGTAGGCCTTCTGCTCCAAAACCATCTTCTCGCTAACTTGGCGAACCTGGTTTAAATACATCAGAAATTTAGAATCATAGTCAATCCTCACAAAGAATCAAACTGGGGTCTGCACTTATCACGGGGTGTTTGGGGACTACAAACTAGAAACAAAAGCAGCAACGATTTCTCCAACATCTGAGGTGTACTCAGCAAATCAAAATATGCTTGATGAATATTATTTTTTAAGTAGGAAGAATGATCCTGTTGGTTATGCAGTTCAAAAACCTGGGAATCATATATCAAGACAATCATGATTAAAACAAAATTATAGTTTAATGACTTCGCAAACCATAAATCAGGACAACCATCCACTCAGGCATCATGGAAGTGTATACTCGCAATAAATCAATGAGCTAGTTAGAACCGAGTACAATGTATTCCAAGGGTAAAGTCGTGTGTATTGCCTTTCACGGTGAATTTCCATGCACAACAGGTAATCTCAGATCTTATCAGACGTCTCAAAGAAATGTCTTGAAAAGGTAACACCATGCCATATATCCAAATTAACCAACCATATTTTGAAAGGAGTCAACACTTCAAAAACATAACAAGAGCATATAAGTTTCTATATCAAACAACAAAGTAGATCCAGCACAAAGTAATTTGGTCAACTTTACAATATACGATTACTCCAAAGTCCACACTGTATCAGATCATAAAATTCAAAGTTCACAACAATAGTCTGCGACTTCAAATCATACATCAAGACAACAACACCATTTCAAGGCAAAATTGCAATTCTTTTATGTCCTTCAAACCCCTGTTTCGAAGCAACATAACAGTTGAGGTTGCAGACCATTGAACAAGGCATCGATTGACTGAGACTCAAAGTTCAACCACCTAAATCACATATCAAGGTGATAAGCAAGAGATAAGTCACGCAGATTTATCATCCATCCACCAAGTAAAAAATATATATCAAGTCAACTAGCATCATTCAAGTAAACTTTACCCAAGCCAACTATATGTTGATACAAAAGAGTGTCTTATGGTCCTTCAATCCATATATCAAGGCAACATATAGTTTTAGGCCTGATCAGACCATTTATCTAGGCAACTGAAAATTAAGATGTGGAGTAGGTTCCTACAGCACAAGCCACATTTTAAGCTGACACAGCTCAATAAAAGGTAGAACACACTTCAACTAAATTTGATTGAAGTGACCTTGAAGTTTAGTCCTTCAGAAGTTCATATCAAAGAATCATTAAGTACAGTAGACCTCGTACACAGACAGCCACTGATTGAAACATGATATTGTAGGCTTGAATCAACTAACCTATGATGCACGGACACGGACACGGGACACGACACGGACACGTAAATACGCAAATTTTCAAAAAATAGGGGACATGACACGTTAGAGACACGTTTAATATATATAATTTTATTTATTTATTTTATATCTAAATTTTAAAAAAATATTAACTCTTATAAAATTACAATAATAATAAAATTAATAAATATATTATCTAATTTTTTTAAATAAAAATAATTTATTTTATAAATTTGAATAAAAATATGGATATAAATAATAAAACAAACGGAAAAAAAAGAAAAAGAAAAAGAGAGAATAAAAAGAAAAGGGTGGAGAGAAAAGAGACATGAAATCAGATGAAGGGAAGAGAAGAAAGAGAGACATAGAAGCAGAGACGAAAGAAGATAGAAGATAGAAGATAGAAGATAGAAGATAGAAGATAGAAGATAGAAGACAGAAGATAGAAGACGAAGACGAAGACGATGCGAAGACGAAGACGAAGGCAGAAGAACAAAGAAGCAGAAGAGAGAAGAAGAACAGGTTAGGGCTTGTTCTCTCTGTCCTCGATCTGTCTCTCTCTTCCCTCGATCTATCTCCCTCTCTCCCCTCGATCTGTCTCTAGCTCTGGCTCTGGCTCTCTCTCTTTCTCCTCTCCAACAGTTCTAGAGTTTCTTCGATCCACCTGCGTGTCTGAATCGTGTCCCCGCGTGTCCAACCTCGTGTCCGACTCTGAAAAATTCTGAAAAAAAGGGGGACATGTAGGGGAGAGTGTCGGACACGTGTCCACAACGTGTCCGACGTGTGTCCGTGTCCGACACGTGTTAGACACTTGTTTGCGACCTCCGGAGAGGTGTCCATGCTTCATAGATTATATCATGCTTGCAGTTGTGAGCCGCCTATAACTTTTGTTGGGGGTGGGATGCAAAAATAGTGCAGGAAATATTTTTAACCTTCTTTTTTTTTTTCTTTCTTTTTCCTTTTTCAATTGCATTATGTTTTCATGAATACAGACTTCTATTGAATTCAAAATTTACATTTATTCTTCTCCGTAGCACTTGAAACTTGTCACAAATGTTCCAAAACAGAGAAAAATAACCTTCGACTGATGCAACATCTCAGTTGTGCATGTGTTTTGATTGATCTGTGGTTGAAGTTCTAAAGATTAGGAAAAGGCAATTTTGGACTTCTTTATTATTCATCTCCTTTCACCACATATTGTTTTCATATACTATTGACCTTGAGGAGGTCTTCTGTTTCTGTGGACAGTGCAGGGCACATGTATTTTGGTACCAAAAACCAAAACTCATTTCCACCCCTCCTTTTACTGTTTAACTGTAAATTTCAGAACATCATAGCTAGAATTCTAGATGTTTTCGCTACTCTTGTTACCATGACATGGTGCAATATACGACGGGTGATAGGCTAGTATATATATATATATATATATATATATGTATATATATTATTAGTATATAATATATAATAGAATGTATAGCGATCGATAGTCAAGGAGGGGGCTGAAACACCATAGCGAGAGAGGGAGAGCAGTGATCGATAGTCAAAGGAGAGGGCTGAAACACCATAGCGAGAGAGTAGAGAGGGAGACGACATAGACGAGGAAGACGACACTGACAAGGAAGACGACACTGACGATGCAGACGAAACAAAGAAAGAAGAAAAATAAAAAAAAACAGAAGAAAAGAAGAAGATCGAAGAAGAGATTTGAAGAATCGAAGAACATACCTGATCTAGAGCTCCATTTCAACAGATTCTTCACCCTCTCTCTCTCTCTCTCTCTTTGTGTGTCTGTCTTCAACAGGTTAGGGTTTCCCTCCCTCTCTGTCCATAACGTGTCCACAGCGTGTCCAAGAGTGTCCAAAAGAGTGTCCGGCTACAAAAATTCAAAAAAGAAAAGGGACACGTTGGGTAGAGTGTCGGACACGTGTCCACCGCGTGTCCGACGCGTGTCCGTGTCTGACACCCATACATTGCCTTCGGAGACATGTCCGTGCTACATAGCAACTAACTGTACATTGAAGCAGCCCAGTTGAAACTAAGAGAATCATATATAACTGTAAGTGCAATGGCTTGAAATCTCATTTATTTTATAGCCACGTATCAAAAAGGGACTGAACCAACAATTGATAATCAACTAGCCCACTAAAAATTGATTCCCATGTAGGCTATATGACAATCAATTGGAGATTCAAAACTAGAAATTGAGAGAATCATATATAATTGTAAGCGCAATGAGTTGAAATCTCATTCATTTTATACCCACATATTGAAAAGGGACCAAACCAACGATTGGTAATCAAATAGCCGTATTTTGAAGCCCACAAAATTGATTCCCACGTAAGCTATATGGCCATCAATCGGAGGTTCAAAACTAGGAGGCGCCACTTGGTTTTAAGGTCCAAGAACCTACAATGACTCCACTCATCATAACCAAATAACTTAGCTTGGGAACTTGGGTACAAAACATTAAGGTATTAGGGAGAAGGGACCAAAAACTACAATCACAAATCTATTTTAACAGGCTCCGTGTTCAGCGCATCCATACAAAACACACAAGAAAAAAAACCATCCGCCACAGTTAATAAAGCATCCATAAAAATAAAATAAATTCATCCACAAATATACTATAACACAACATAAATGGGATGCCAAACCAGCCAATCATTGACCAATTTTGAAATTCGCAAAGTTCATCTATGTAATGACAAGGTAAATTTGAACTTTTAATTGTTGTATTAGAGGGCCAGATAACTTATAATAATTATAATAAAGTCCCTAGTGGAGTCCGAGTACTTCAATTTAGACCTTCGTCGAATACTTTTTTTGTGCGACCGATCATCTTGACTTGCATACACCAATTCCCGAGCCAACCTAAGACCTAAGGGGCAGACTCTCTGGGTCTAGTGTATGATGTTAATATGATCATAGGGTCAATCCTATCAAATTCGAATTTAATTGTTTGCCAAGAAAAGTAACGCAACAACCGTCTCGATTTGCATGCACTTAGAACCAAACCGGTACGAGAGTCGAGAGATGGACTCTCCAGGCCGGTATTAGATGTTAATATGTTAACACATTAGCAATTTGTAGACATTGTGGTGAATTGAGAATTCCAGTGCATAGTTTTCTCGCTACGCGCGCATGCTAGTCTGATCTAGTTTGAGATTTGAAAGACGGATCCTTTGGGTCCTATAATTATCATTCCTACGTTATTTATGTATATTTTATTTGTTTTAGTTGACCCTGTGAATTTCGTGAAATTCTAGTTTACATGGAAATTGAGATGTTCGGTGAACAAGGAAAACTGTAAGCACTAATTACACAAAACACCCCCTCTATTCAGCAATAAAACCAGCCCTCCATTTTCTCTAAGCAATGCATGTGAGTTTATTTGGAGTGGACAAAACCTTAATATTTACTTACTCTTTTCTTCCTTTCACAATTTGGGAAATGGGGTCACATGGGCTTTGACTAGCTTTATGTATATATTGTATATAAATGTATAAAAATCAGAATTTTTTATGAATGGTTTAGATTAAAGATGTTTTCATGATGGTATTTTGACATATGGATGTAATTTGAGTTGGTGAACTAACCTAGGGTTAAACTAGGGCTAGTATAGAATTGTTAAGAATTTAGTTTTGAGAGAAGGAATTAATTTCTTCCCCATTTACTCTCCTCTTAGCAGTGCTTCACCCTCTCCCAATCTCTCTCAATTTTCTTCATTAAAT